AAGTAGTTTGTAGTAGTTTATAACCACAGACATTATAATTTGAGGGTTACTATTTTCTGAAAAACCACTAACATTGCAGTCTGTGGTTGCATTTCCTAGATAAAATTTAGTACTGCCACCTGATCCTTCTGTGGAAACAAAAGAATTTTCCTATAAAATTGCAAACCATCATATGGGTTTCTTTTTTTTTTTATAAATATTAAGTTCTCTGGTATACACAATGCACTCATTCCTTCTTGTCTTCCCGCATATATATACATTGTGATTACGTGGTTGTGATTCCTAATATATGGTTGAATATGAATTGTCAATTGAGTACTTGAATAGCTTTATTTTATGTTTTATTAGGTCTTCTAATCTTCTAACTGGTGTTAGCTGTAAAGAAGCTAATTTTGTGACTATAATGTAGCACTCCAGCCTCAGATATTTTTTTTTTTTTTTTAAAGAAAAGGGTGGGGTGGGTGTGTGGAAAAGAGTTCCACCTCCAGTGCAATTTGTGGAGCTCTTCTTCGGCTTCTTATGTGAAACAGGGCTTTCCCATTTTCTTGAATCTATTAAAATAACATTAAAGCCTCAAATAATGCTGTACATTTTTAAGCTAAAGATGAAATAAAGGCCAATTTTTACTTTTGCAACCAAAATCTAAGAGCAAAGGAGGAGATGAAGGAAAAGTAAGCACATATGCTGACAGCATGTACATGCAGCTAAGATTTTATTAAACATTAGCCATAAGTAATATCAGAATTTAAATAATCTTCATATCATTTGGTAATTTACTGTAATGACACAGAAATAGAGCGAAGACAGATGGTAACTTTCAGAACTTAGAGGAGAGCACTTCTTGAAAGGTCTCATAGAAGAAGGAGTGAAGATTTTTTTCACAAAGGAAAAACGAATATGACTGATTCATTTGAAGGGCAAAAATACGTGACTGCTTCATCTGGGGAACTGGGTGTTGTCTGTTTGCTCTTTGAAGCATTCTGAAAAACTGATAGAAAGGATAAAAGAGTTTTCTTCCTGGTTTGATACCACAGCAAATCTGTCTTTGGATAGTCTTGACTGGTCTGTCATTGTTGCACAGAGGTCTGTGCCCATGGTGAGCTGTGAGTAAGGGACAGTGCAAACTAAACCAACCAGTTCAGTAGTGGTGTTTGTGGTTGTAGTGTCTGTTTTTTAAGACAAACCTGGGAAGAAAGCTTTGTGTTTTCATGTACTTTTTCTTTTCTCCCGAATTTAATGAGCGGGATAATGTTTAAACTCTGTTGAGAAACAGACATTCAAATCACAAATAGAACCATATGGTTCATCATCGAGCATAGCTGGTGAAGTTTAATCACCAAAAATAAGTAGTGTTCTGGAGTATTACCAGGAGTCTGGTAAATACAGATGTTGGGATGAAGCCCGCTAAAGTATGAGTCTTTGTCTACAATCATATGAGATCGTCCAGTCTGATGCCTACATGGTCTGTCCGTTGAATTACCATTGCCATGGCAGACTGTGACTGCTGAGATAATTTTCAGATAAGTACAGTTAATATGTATCTGAAATAGTGAGATTTGGCTTTATTATTTACCCTATGTTAGTTTTTTTAATATGAAGGTAATAATGTTATATATTTGGAAGATATATCAGTACTTCTTTTGATTAACTAGTGATGTGGTAGATGAATCATAGCATCATTTAGGTTGGAAAAGACCCTTAAGATAATTGAGTTCAACCATAAACCTAACACTGGCAAGTGCACCACTAAACCATGTCCCTAAGTGGCACATCTGCATGTCTTTGAAATACCTCCAGGGATGGGGACTCAACCACTTCCCTGGGCAGCCTGTTCCAGTGCTTGACAACCCTTTTGGTGAATAAATTTTTCCTGATATCTGATGTAAACCTCCCCTGGTGCAACTTCCTCTTCCATCACTTGCTACTTGGGAGAACAGACGAACACCCATCTCACTACAACCTCCTTTCAGGTAGTTGTAGAGAGCAGTAAGGTCTCCTCTGAGCATCCTCTTCTCCAGGCTAAACATCCCCAGTTTCCTCAGCCACTCCTCACAGGACTTGTTCTCTAGACCCTTCACCAGCTGTGTTGCTCTTCTCTGGACACACTCCAGCACCTCAGTGTCTGTCCTGTAGTGAGGGGCCCAAAGCTGAACACGGTATTTGAGGTGAGGCCTCACCAGTGCTGTCTACAGAGGGATAATCACTTCATTAGTCCTGCTGGCCACATTTCTGGTACAGCCAGGATGCCATTGGCCTTCTTGGCCACCTGGGCACACTGTCGGCTCACATTCAGCTGGGTGTCAACCAACACGCCCAGGTCCTTCCCCACCAGGCAGCTTTCCAGTCACTCTTCCCCAAGCTCGCAGCATTGCTTGGGGTTGTTGTGACCCAAGTGCAGGACCCGGCACTAAGCCTTCTTGAACCTCATACAATTGGCCTTGGCCCGTCGCTCCAGCCTGTCCAGATCCCTCTGTAGAGCCTTTCTTCCCTTTCTACCCAGCAGAATGCTGTGGGAAACAGTGTCAAAGGCTTTACTAAATGACAGCTCTGTTTACTGTGTTCACTTAAACTTGAATTTACTGTGTGGTACAGCAATTGTTCTCACTCTAATATTGAGTCATCCACTGTGTAATTAGAAAACCAATATAAGACTAAAGAAACCACGGGGATTAAAGAAATAGGAATAGCTGTTCAACATACCAGCTATTCCCAGTACCTTTTGGAATAGGTATTTGCTGTTTGAAATATCCAGTGATTCAGGATTATTCAAATTTTTCTGAACTACTGGATGCTTGAAATCTATAGAATATATATGCTGTGGAGTGAGGCATTGAAAAACAATGAGGGACTTGGCTGAATTCTTAAATATTCAATTTTTTCAGATTTCTAAAGAAGGTAAGAAGACCCTTTGATCTCCATATTATAAAACTCTTACATTATAAGTATTATGAATGTGAACCAAAAAAATGTCAAAAGCTAAGACAATTAATTTATTTAATAGTATAGAAGTAATCAGTAATCTTTTGTTCCTTGTGATAAAGCAAATAAGGGTATAGAATGTTAAAAATAACATCTTTTTATCAACTTGTTGCTCTTGAAATAAGTATTGCTAACAAAGAGTAAAAACTCGCTTTGGTTATTGCCTCAACAGGAGGTTATACAACTTTGCTTTCACTATTATCTGTAACTGTATATTCTTCAGAGAGTTAATACTGGTCTTAATTCTGGGAACTTGCCATTGTAAATGGAAAAGAATTCTTTCCAATTTTATTTTTTCTGTTTTAATCTTGGTGTAACAAAATAGTCTTCCATAAAAGTATTGCTAATGGTTTCTGTTTTCTTGCGGTTTTTTAAGAGACTTGTAGAATTTAATTGTATTTTTATTTGGAATTTTGCTCGTATAATGTTCCAAGTAGCATGATATCAAGGAAAGTTAACATACATTATTTGATTGTAAGTATTTTATTGATGTAAAAGTTTCTACATATGAATAAGTAGCTCCTTATCAGTTCTGTAATTTGCTTTTAAGAGTTTAATGGGGTGAATGGTGAGATTTTCTTCCATTCTAATAAGGACAGTATTTGGGGACTTTTTGGCAAATTAAACTGGCATGAGATATATAATAAGAACAGCATATCTCTGTACTGTGTAACTTTCTTCTATTTTTTCTGTGAGTCTTGCTGGAGTTCTGTAGTGAGAGACCTTTGTCTCAGGATTCCTCTTTGATAAACCGAATTAAAATAGAAAAAAATTATAATCACTTTTCCCAGCTATGGTTTTCACATTTGCTGTATTCCAAAACAGTGGGGACTACATAGCTGCATATTTCAAATTCGGGATTTTAGATTTTTTTCTGTTATAAAGATAGCAAAAATATAGTTTGGGCTGAAAATTAGTAAATAGCTAAAGGTAAAAAAATACCACTTTCAGTTGAAACACTTCCACTGAAGAGTCTTAAAAAAAAAAAAAAAAAAAAAAAAAAAAAAAAAAAAAAACTGGTCCAATTCACTGGTAGTATTCTTCATTTTGTACACTAATACCATATGGTAAAATGCCACTCTTATGTGTACTGATGAATTACGTAACTTTATAAATATCTTCTACTTTGAAAACCTTAGAATTCCACCTGTTTTCCAGAGTGAATACCACTGAGTACCTGCAAAAATACTTTCTGCAAAGAAGACAGAATTGTAAAGCACCAAGAATGTACAAGTTAGCACTCTGAGATTCTGTATTTAAAGCACGTGCCACTGTACATTGACAAATGTTTCCTAAACCGGTAAACAAAGCAATAAAATTTTTGACATTCTATCTCAGAAATGTACAGTTATGTATTTCTCCTTAGGTTAGTCATTATTCCCACGTAAATAAGTATGGTGCTGTAACTGAATACTTTAAGTACTGCATCAAAGTAATTGATTTCTTCTGACAGTGTATGTACAAGATAGACTCAGCCATTTTGACAAGAGCCTGAAAGCCTTTGAATAATTAAATTAAAAAAAAAAATTAAGCTATCCTTAATATTTTAAGGCATTTTAATATTTAGTTAGTGATGGATGATGGATTATATCTGATAGCATATAGGAAAAAAAGACTTTGAACTTTGTTTAGATCTTTGGTCCTTTGGGCAGTTGGACTAGATGATCGCTGTAGGTCCCTTCCAACTGAAATATTCTGTTCTATTCTATTAATAGCAATGAGTCCATCCCTGCTTCTGTTGGAATGTAATGCCTGTGTTGCTTCCTTTTATTCTGCTTTCAGGGAACATTGTGTGTCTACTAACATAGCTATCAAGTTATTATTTTGCTCTTCTTTAGGCCTTTTAGGGTAAAGTACTGAATTTATGAATTTTTGTAAAGATATTGCACACATTTATGATAACTGTCGTTGAGAAAGGAGTGCGGTCGTGGTAAAATTTTAGTAGAAAGGAAGGGAATGACCTGTATTACATTTGTGAAATACTTTTAATATTTACACTTACATATTTTCCTTTTAAAAAGGAAATTGTCAAGGAAGCATTGATGGAGGAGCAAAAACGAAGTGAAAAGGCAATCGAAGAAGCAGTAAAAAGGACAAGAGAGGAACTGATGGAATATATTAAAGAGCAGAAAAGGGTGAGTTACCAGTGGCTGAGGGGTTTCACTTCATGCAGTAAAAAAATTGGTGAAGTTTATTAATCCTCAAACCTGTCTTCAAATGCACAACAGAATCGGGAGTTGTGTCTTCAGACTTTTTTTTTTTTTTACATACAATTTGTTACTGTGATATATATAATGTGTCTATTTATAGAATTTTAAATTCATCACAAGCCAAAAACCAGAAATTAATATATTGGTTGAAATTTACAGTATTTCTTATTACAGTAACATAAAGATGGTGCATAAGTGCAATCTGTCAAACTCAAATAGTGACCTGAGTTAGTTCACTGAAAGCATTCCAGTATCAATAACAGATGCTATTTTATGTTCATAAATGAACTTTATTGAGCAGTTTGCATGCACCCGAAGTCTCTAACTTTTTCTCTCAACCCATATTGTATGACAGCCTGAAAATATATTCGTATTATATTGAGCAGGATTTATAGTCAGTGCGCTGGTCTTGTTATGAAATGTTGTAATGCTCTGAAACTTGGTTTCAGGTATTCTGTTAATGCCATAAACTTGCAGTTTAATGTTTGTGTATAAACAGTAAAATGTAACTTAAAAACCAGCTTAATTTGCTTTCAATAGGAGGAGAAAAATTAACACACTTCTCCCTTTCGAGGCTCTTTATAAAAATAATAACAAAAAAAAAAATCAAAAAACATCTTTTTTTGTAGGAGCCCTTGATCAAATTCAGTGATTTCAATATTCTCAATAAGTAAAATCAGTAAGCTTGAATCTAATTGGTAAATTTATCCTGAGAAGGAAGTAGAAATAATGTGTATGGCCTCTTCTATTCCCTGCTTTTATGGGCTGAATAATATTACGGGAAACAGGATTTTCACTCTACTACTAGTTAAGATTAGTATTGGATGAGCTCTCTTATGCTGTTCCTGGAAAAGTTTCCATTTAGCAGTATGGGTCTTACTGGCAAAGACATTTAAACAGAATTTCAGGGTAAAACATGGTCCATAAGGATGTTCGGGCTCGTTTTTATCTGCAGTTGGTCATTTACAAAGGATAAGCTGTGGGGAAAGTGAAAATAGGTCTACTATTTAAAATAGCTTGTATCATAAATAAATTGGTCAATAGGGCCACTAGTGCAGATCGTCTACTCCATCTAATGCAGGCTCCTCACTGTTGGCCACTATTTTGAATTTACGGTAATTTTCTACAGGCACTTCAATAGCAATTCATCTGTCCTTAATCCCTTAGATTTCCATTTTCACCAGGAATGGAGGCTTTCTTCCATTTTCCTTCCAGCTACACACAGAGTTGGAGCTCGTTGCCATTATTCCCTTTTCAGAGTACTGTTAATCTCTCCTTGTCCTTGTGAAGTTTCCACAGTGAAAATATCTTCAAAGAAACAAAATCCTCACTGATTTATCTAGTAGAAGTATAATTTCCATTCATTTCATAGAGTTTTTGAATATTGATCAAAGTATTCCGGTCAACTTTTTTTCCATATTGATCAATTGGCACATCTCCACTCATTTAAAAAAAAAAAAAAACAACATATGTAAGGACATATGATATTTCCGGCATAAATTGTCTGTCTGTATTTAAGGTGAGAATGGAAGATATTTTTAACTCCAAGCCATTTCACATAATAACTTTTATATGATTACGTAAGAGGCAAAGTAAATGGACTTTGGTCAAAGCACCATGCACCTGTCAGAGTAATAAATATACTTTATGGACTATGCTAAAATGTAGCAGCTCTGGAAGGAATTCCTAGAAGGAACTCAAGAAAAATGCTTCAATTTCCTGGCTGAGATTCAGTGATACTGTTGGGTTTTTTTTTTCCTGACTGGCAGGGATAGTCCCAGTTACACGCTTGCACAGGTAGTGTCCAACCGTGTATGTCTCATCACTGTTTTGAAAAATAATTGTGTAGAATCCTTCAAACCACGGGGCATACAGGCACAGCAATATTTGTACTTGGTTGGCAGTGATTAAGTGCTTCAGGAAAAGACTCATAAACAGATTCTTATCCAGCTTATTTTGTAATAGTACAAAGTACATTTCATCCCTCACGGTGAACGGGGTACATACCAGTTTTCAAATTAGCTTGTAACTTGCTTAGACATTTATTCCATTAAAGCTTTATTTTCGTAAAAGTATAATACTTCTGATATGAGTTGAAGAAAATCAGTTGTGTATTTGGCCTGTTTCATATTAACTGCAGATATTTTAAAATATTAATGAGCATTTACGGTTGTATTTGTGCTTGTTCTTCGAAGAATTCCTCTAACAGTTTATAAAAGTTGGATCTGGCAATGCAGCAAGTTTTGCTGTACGTTATAAATGTACTCCAGCATTATACCATGCTATATAAAACAGTAAATATTTGCTTTGAGTTAGAAAGAATTGATTGTGACTAAGTCTTTTTTTTTATAATAGATGGATTTGATAATTATTTGTCTAAATAATTTGGGTCAACGTAACATATACGTTCAAAGTAAACCCTAGAAATCTCCTGTTGCATTTCCAAAAATAACTCCAGTTATATTCTAGCTATGCTAGTGCTAAAATAGTGGTTACTTTTGAGAGCCAAGACTCCACATGATTTAAGTGTTCAGAGATGACTGACCAACCATGAATCCAGCGCATCAGTGACCTACGTACAGTTTAACAGTCACTTAGTATTTGGGACGTATGAATGGGATTATTTGAATTAGTAGAAAGTTACTTAGCTAAAAGCAAGTAGTTGATGTTCCTTTGACCTTAGACAACACTTTTCAACCCTTTTCTTTCCTGATCAGTAATCTTTCAATGGGCGCTCTTTCGAGCTGAGGAAACTAATTGTCCTGCCTTTGATACAATTTTATCTAAATAATTTAATGTCGTATGCAGAACATTTTTCCAAACCTAGGGTGTTTATAGATCCATCATATTTCAAATCCTTCCACAGATAAGTGGCTCAGAGTTAATTGTACACGTTTGACATTGTGACCCACGAATGAGTCACAGTCGCTATGAGTGAAACAAAAAGTGATTTATAGTCTTATTTTCTCATGAAGGAACAAGGAAACTTCAAGGCATTTTCTTTTAAATACTAAAACTGAGAGGTTGGTTACATTAAAATTAGGAGGAGAAAATGGAAAGCAGTGCAACAATATCATTATGCTAAAATGTCCAACATAAGAACAAATGTAACTTGCTCTGTATTCAAGCCAAAGTCTCAGGCTAGTGGAGAATTTGTTGGCAGTTTTTCACCTTTGATTAAAAAACTCTGCAAGCTAAAACAAAAAATAGTGAAACTGCGATGGCAACGTATATTTTCACATAATAAATGAAAGAAGATGCATTGTGGTTATGCCTTTTTCATACTTCAGGTAGGATCCCAAGTTTTTAAAAGATGTGTAGCACTATATTCCCAAAGTTCAGCTTATGACCTGCAATTATAGTTTTATTTTCTCAGTTCTATATTAAATGAAGAAATCTGTAATAGAATTTTTTTTTTTAATGTTGTCACGGGTAACATCTTAAGAATCCTGGATATCTAAGATGCGAAGGAAATTTCAGTCAGTAATTCGAGTCTTTATTATTATTTCATAATTATTTCATAACCACCACCATTCCAAAGCAGGCTTTAAAACTGGAAAAGACTGTCATATCCATTCAGAGATCTTCCATAGCTATCAGACTTGTAGAGGTTTATATAAACATTCGTAACACCTTGAAAAAAATTATTCTGAGTCAAATTTGAATCCATTTGCTATAACTATTAGCCAGACTTGCTTTCTCCAGCACAGGTGCATCCACATTATGTCCAGAATGTTATCTTTATTAATTGCCTGAAGGAATATTTGATGATATTTGATTTGATGAAGCAAAACAATGCTTTACATTTTACAGTGCTGGCGGGGTGGGAAATGAGGGGGGAGAGGTGAAGCATAGCACATAGGTAAAAAGAAGATGGGCACTGAAGCACGATTAAATGGCAAGCCACTACTTTTGTCGTAAAAATAAATGTTATTCTTGGTTTGTATGCCGTACAAGGACACAGCACAGTATTCTGTGCCACCTGTTATCCATGACACATGGATGTAGAGGGAAGCAAAATCTTGCAGTTTGGTTATAGTGAGTTAAGAGTGAGGAAGCACTTGTCCCTGAGGATCCAAAGTCTATCCATTTTGATAGAAGTTTGTAACGCATTTGTCAGTATTGTCTTTTGTTGCTTGATTTTCATAATCCTGTAACCTCTGGCCCTGCCTTGTGGTCTTTGGTCATTGGACTGCTCTGAAAACAGCCAGAACTGTGTGGGGCCCCAGCACATTCAGTGCCCCAAGGTACGATAAACCACATGGGCCAGCCACTGAGGCTCACACTGCCTGGGTCACTGGTTGAACTGGGAAGCATTTACCAGCTTTTTGCGTTTATTCTTTAAAAATTTTAATGTTTGTCTTGATACAGAATGTATCTGAAGGAGTTCCCCGTTATTGGGTGGAACAGCTCTGGTGTTTTTTGAGGGTTAACAGTTTATTTTTGCTAAAACATCACGCTGATGTGGTAGCATACATATGTACGTAGGCTCTTACATGTATGTGTGTGTATACATTCATATTTGTAGTTATTACTTGGGAGATCAGGCCAAGAAGTAGAGTCTAATGTCATGTAAACTATGGCCTGGTATTACAATTCCTGAGCTTTTGATGCCTGGATTGTGAGAGGCATAACAGTGCCCTGCCACTGACCTGTACAACTTTTGTGATATTTTTGGTTAAAGACTTGATTAACAGGTACGTGCTGCTCTGTCGGGAGTATAAAGATAGGCTGGGCCCATCCCTGCTCCAGTTTGTTATGGACTTCATGTGGGACTTTGGCCCTTTCACTGAACACTCTTTGCTTCAGTTTGCTGGGGCTGAATTAAGTGAATATAAATACAGCTTTGTCCCAACAGGCAATTTTGTAAGCAGCTCCAAGGAACTTTGACATTTGTTGTTTGCTCCTGTGTGCAACGTAAGACT